CTGATCCTGGGGGCAGGGGGGATGGTCCTGGGGGGGCCTATCCTGCCACTGGGGGTAGCAGGGGTCGGGGTGGCAGATCTGGGGGTCCTGGGGCATGGTACGGGGCCCCAATCCCAGAAGACTGTGTGTTGGACGTGCTGGGTCCTTGGGCCTGATCCTGACTGTGCTCTGCGCACCCCCCCCCAGTGAACACCCACTGCCATGCTGACCACGTGACCGGCTCGGGGCTCCTGCGCCGCCTGCTCCCGCCCTGCCGCAGTGTCATCGCCCGTGACAGCGGTGCCGCCGCCGACCTGCTGCTGCGCCACGGCGACACCCTGCACCTTGGCGACCTTGTGAGTGCCCTGGACACCTGGGTCCCCTCTCTGGGGGGCTCAGCCCCAATGCCTGGGGCCTGTGTCCCCATCTCTTGGGCTCGGCCGGCCGGGTGAGAGGAGCGGGGACTTGGATACCTGGGTGCTCTGCACCTGCTGGAAGGGGGGGCTCACGCACCTGGGCTTTACCCATGTCCCCGACGGCAAAGGGGGAAACTGAGTCTAGGCCAGGGGTGGAGCTCCAACTCCTGGGTTCACGCCCAGCTTTTGGGCAGCCGGGCCGCCTGGGCTCTCTCCAGCTCTGGGGGGCAGTGGGGGGTGGTGGGGGTGCCCGGCTGCCCTGTCCCACTGCCCCCGCCTCCTCCCCAGACGCTGGAGGCACGGGCCACACCGGGGCACACCCCTGGGTGCCTGACCTTCGTGCTGGACGACCGGAGCATGGCCTTCACGGGGGACGCGCTGCTCGTGCGGGGCTGCGGCCGTACCGACTTCCAGCAGGGTGCGCGCCCGGACGCCTGGGTTCTGGTGGGGGGGCCGGGGGTGAGAGCAAGGGGGTCTGGGAGCCCACCCACCTGGGTTGTCTCCTAGGGAGGGTTTATGGGGGTTATGTTGGGGGGTGGGGGGTGAAGGGAGCCTCCTTAGATGCAGTGGGTTGCCACAGGCTCCTCCCCTCCTCAGTTGCCATGGGAACAGCCAGGGTATCCCTCTAGGTGTCCCTGGGCCAGGTTGTCATGGGGACAGTGTGGGATTCCCCCAGCCACAGGGGCTTAACTCCAGGGTAGGCTCCTAAGTTGCCATGGCGATGGACTCCTAGGCCCAGCCCTACCAATAGAGAACAGCAGGGTTTCCAGGGGTCCCTGGGTACCCCTGCTTGTCACTGTGGCAACAGGGGCATCTCAGATTGGGGGCTGACGGTTGCCGTGGGGATTGCGGGTCACTTTCTCCATGGCAACCAGCCTCCCCTCGCCCCAGCAGGCTGTGCAGCCACCCTGTACCGCTCGGTGCACGAGCAGATCTTCACCCTCCCCGAGGACTGCCTGCTCTACCCGGCCCACGACTACAATGGTGGGGGGTCTTGGCTGAGCCTGGGGGGTCCTTAGGGGTTTTGGGTGGACCGGTAGGGGCCCTAGGGGGCCTCTAAAGGTCTGGGAGGGTTCCTTAGAGGGTCCTGCAGACTCCTGGGAGGCTACAGGGTCCCTAAGGGCTTTGGGGGGGCAGGGGGGTCCCCAGGGTTTTGAGGGGAGTTGGGAGGGTCCTTAGAGGCTT